GGGGGGGGTGAGGACACGGGAAAGGCAGTGTAACACAGAGAAGACAAATAGTGATTCTATAGCATGTTACTATATGCTGATGGACAGTGACTGTAATGTAAAAAACAAAAAGATGTTAAAAAAAAAACAAACGCATTGACATATCACCTCTCTGTTAGAATGGCTTCATCAAAAAGGCAAGAAATGAGTTGGCGAGGATATGGAGGAAAGGGAACCCTTGTGCACTGTTGGGAATGTAAATTAGTACAGTTACTATAGAAAACAATATGGAAGTTCCTCAAAAAATTTAAACTAGAATTAACAGTTGATCAGTTCCATTTCTGGGTATTTATCCAGAGGAAACAAACATCCCCATGTTCACTGCGGCATTATTTACAGTAGCCAAGACATGGAAACAACTCAATGTCCATCAGTGGATAAATAAAGAAAACTGTGTGTACATACACACACAGGAATATTACTCAGCCATAAGAAGGAAATCCTGCCATTTGCTTCAACATGGCTGCACCTTGAAGGCATAATGCTAATGAATCAGTCAGAGAAAGACAAAATTCTCAATGATGCTATTTATATATGGAATCTGGAAAAATAAAACCTACCTCATAAATACAATGAACATACTGGTTATTGCTCAAGGCAGGAGTGGGAATGTGGGTGAAATGGGTGAAGGTGGTCAAAAGGTAAAACTTCCAAAGTCCTAGGGATGTATGGGGACTGGCAGATGGGAACAGAATCTAAAAGTTAATTACTCAAATAGCATGAGTACATTATTTAGAGCTATAGAAATAATCAGAGCTAAGAATAAATTATTCAAATGGTTTCTTAAAGGAAGGGATATGGCCGAATATACTTAAATTCTCTAATAATAGTATCTACCAAAAAATCACTTTCTTTAAATATTCTTATTCACATTGACAAAACTCGTTCATCTTTTTTAAAACTGTTTTGGCTTTGTTAAATTTATTCCTGTTTTACTGTCTTGATGCTATTATAAATGGAATTTTCTTAATTTCATTTTTGTAATTTGAATATAGAACCTTTTGTTACTATGAAATGCCCCTTTGTATTTTATTTTAAAGTTTCTGTTGTCTGATACATAGTCAGTTCTCTTTCTTCTTTTTTAAAGAAATACATACATATACCTATTTAGAACAAGAGTAGACAAAAACACCGGAATGTTAGCTGGAGTTGTTTCTGCCTTACAGAACTGAGTTTTGTTTTTTTGTATATTCTCAGTTCTGTGATGAGTTCATATTAGATTGGCTTACTTAGAATAAAAGGTGATATGTAAATATTTTATCAGCTAGATTTTTTTTGGTTGCAAAAAGCATAAATTGACTAACAAGTCAAGAAGGAATTTTTGAAGATGGACTAGTCTGTAGAACCAAAAGCTAGCGGACCAAGCTCAGAAGAGGCTGGAGCTGTGGCACCTACTGGCCTCTGGGGAGCAAAAACTTCTCAATTGGTGATGCCACCAGAATAAATGAACTCTTGACTTTGTATTCTCTCCTTGTTCTTTCCAGACAAGATTGAAAATCCAGAAGTGAGCGTCCTGCTTGAGTCAAATAAATCTTTGACACTTGGCGTCATGGCATCCTGAGTTACATACAGCCTCAGGACTCTCATACTGGGGACAAATGGTTCCCCAAAATGAAATTAGGATGCTGTTTTCAAAAGAAGGGAAATTAACTCTGGCAACTAAAAGCAACAGATGTTCACTATAATACTTAACTTCTTGTTAATACAGAATTGCAGTTTACAGTGCTAGTCATAAAAACAGCCATCAAAATGCAGACAAAATAATTTGTTTTGAATACAATGATGGCAGTTTTGTCACTTACCCAGCCTTGAAGACCTAACACATTTGAAGTTCTCACAGATTTCTCTCCCACTTGACTAAGTTCTGTTTGTTCTTTGGGCAGTTAAATGCTATTAGAAAGTGAGGAAATAGAGAATTTTATAATCATATGGAGGAGGACTTTGTGATAATTGAACACTTTCTGGAATGTCATCTTCTCCTTGGCTTACCTAGTGAGCTTGTACTTACTCATCAAGATGCAGCTCAAGCATGACTTCATCTGAGACTTTGTCCCTTCCCCCTCCTACCACATCCCAGGCTAGTTCACAGGCCACTCACGGCTATGCATAATGCTATTACTGTTCTCATCCCACTACGTTGTACTGGTCATTCGCCCATCTCCCACACTAGCCAGACTGGCAGACTCTCTGTCTGGTTTTTCTTTGATTCTCAGCACCTTATACAGTGTCTGCACATTGCACATACAGTAAATATTTGTTGAATAATTGAATGAATTTGCCAGAGAATGGGAATAAGGCATTCCATATGAAACCCAGCATGTATAAAGGCATGGCATGTGGTGTTTCAAGAAATGGTGAGAAATTCCATAGTTAGAGCGCAGAGAGATTAATGGGAGAAGAGACTGGTGAGTCTGACTAGATTTGGTCTCTAAAGGACCATTAATGCCAAGTTTAGCCAGCTCTGTAGGCCTTAGGAAAAGAATGGTGTGATTTGGTAAAAGGGGGAGGGGAGGACACTAGAGGCTATTTGATCAATTTATGCTGGTTGGGGCTGGAACTAACAGAACCCTCAAGTGGTGGAATATTGCTGTCTCTGGGAGGGAAAGAGGTTCAGACCTGGTTTGGGAAACAGACTCATCTACCATGCAGTAGGCACTTCTCTAAAAGGTACTGGGAACATAGTGGTGAATAGTACAGACAAGATTCCTGCTTCCAAAGAGCTTCATTCTAGTGAGGGCAGACGAATTGACACATAAGTATGTACGCATTCTCAACACTGAAATGCCGTGTTGCAAGTTAAAAATTCCAGAACAGCATGCCCCAAGTAAACAGTTAAAAGCAGACTGGAGAGTTACTTCTCTGAGTGTAGAAGGGAACCTCTTTTTATAGCCCATATCCTAGTTATTTACTGCTAAGTTTTTATAAGAATAATGACCAATATTACACATTTTAAGAACATGTCTAAAATGAAAGGTTTGTAAGCTCTGCACTGTAGAATATGTGTGTAATATGCACTCTCCAAAAAGTGTTGTGAAGAAAAAAATTTGTCACAGTAATACATCTTTAGCAAAAGTGATTTTTCTGCATTTTATACTACACATTTTTTGTAAAGATTAATTGGGTAAGTATTTGATAGTATAAATAAAAATAAAAACCAGTCATTGCCTACATTACTGGCAGTTTCTAGTGCCTGAAAAATAATCTGGCATTTTTACAACTTAATCCATAACCTTGCCTGCTGTTTAGTTTTCTTTTTTCCAGAATGGACTCCATTAGTCAAGGAATTTATAATTCTTGATGTAAATATTAGCCTGTGCTGAATAATGTGTTCTTTCCATTCTCTTCTTTCACTTCGGGCTCATTTAATGACACAGGCTCTTTGCTCTCTTCCAGGGCGCTGATAAGACTGTGAAAGGTCCAGATGGACTAACTGCCTTTGAAGCCACTGACAACCAGGCAATCAAAGCTCTTCTTCAGTGATGGGCGATGGGCTAACAGCTCTGGAAGAATGACTCTCCTGTGGCCTCACACTGCTGCCTGTCTGTCTGTCACTCTATCTGCCAGCTTCTTCAACTAAATACTTTAAGAGGGGTGAGGGGAGAGAGAAATTCATAACAAATCAGATTACCAGGGGAAAAAAACCAATATTTTGGAGGAGAGGGAACAAACCATGATCAGGCTTTTACTGGAAATCCTGATCCAGTCAGCCTCTTTTCCATTTCCAATAAAATATTCAGCTTAAACCCAAGGGAGAGCAAAGACAAAACATACCATCGGTAACATTTGACCTCTTCAGCTCCCTAGCTAATTCATTAATTAGATTGTGTCGAGGGTCTGACTATACAAAGGCCAGCTCTACATGTCGTAGCCTAACTGCGAGCAGTAGTGGCTGCTCTGACAAAAACTTCGGGTGCTGAGATCCGTCATTAGTTCTAGCCTTCTGCCTTAAGATGCCCTCTCCTGGGGGGGTCTCCGGCGGTTAGGAGCGCTGCCTGTGGTTGGCGAGCAGGCCTCCCTCGGTGGCTCGGCTCAGTTACGGTGAGGGAGAGGCACACTCTAAACTGCTGGATGCCTGAACTTGGGATTTCCTCTCCCCTTAAACATGGATTTCATGTCTTCAGATAAAACTGACTGGTTTTATTTATAAAATCTTAAGTTTTGGAAGTCTAAAGGAGAAATCATTCCAGTATGCATAATTTTTTTCTCCTCTAGATTCAGACATTTATATAACATTGAAACACTTTCAAACTCCTGCTGGTAGTAAAAGGGGATTTAAAAGCAGAATCATAGCCATAAGCCCGTTACTATCATATAAAGAGAACAGTTATCTTAGTACCTATGGATTTTCTTCATTTGCTATTGGAATGGATTGGCCTCCGTTATGTTTGGAGAATCAAGGAACTTTCTCTGGAATGCCTCTCTCAGACCCAACTTGGATTACTTACTGCACCAAAGCTGTCACTGGGGAGATTTACTATTTGGACAAATTTAACCCCATCCATCCCTTCAAAAATATTCTTATTACCAGGTTTCCGGGATTTGTTGATAGGCTTCTGCTGAACATACACCAACCCACCCACATATTTGTTTCTTTTTTAAGTCATCATTGCATAAAGTGTGACATCTTCAACATGTGTTCTGTGTTCTTAAAATATAGTGCCCTAAAATGGTGTTCTTAAGACCTGCAGAAAATATTTAGACACATTTTCAAATGTTTACGTCATTAGCAGTACAACTAATTAGAACATGCACCCTAAAATTTGCTATCTTGCATTTAAAATATTAAAATTATATTGACTTGCCATCAATATAAGCTTACTAAAAATACTAGGGATTTTCCTTAGCCAAATCATACAGTAATTGAATGTACCTCAAATTTTTAAAAACAGGATTGTCAGGGAAGGGCTTATATTCAGATTGTGGATAATTAACAGTTGATTTTTTTAAGGCAGTGTAGCATTCTGCAGCAAGGTTAAGCTAGAATCAAAACCAGTTAGCTGATAACAAATCTTATTGGTCAGTTGCTGATTGGTTGGTGTGTGGTTTGTGTGCATGAGAGTGTGTGTGTGTGTATGTGAGTCCCATGAATTCTTTTTTTATACTGTGGGGGTTTTTTTGCTTTTGACTAGCCTAACCCTGTAGTTTTCCTGCGTTCAAGAAAACAATCACAAAATGGTGACTTAAATACTTGCATGTATTTGACTAATTCTCCTGTCTTAATGCAGCCTAGTAGAGTTGGAGTAGAAGTCAGTAGTCAGTATTTATTACCTTACTGAACTGAAACTATGCTGTCAGAAGCTGGAGGGCACTCTTCCCGTCTCTGAGTACCCAGACAGGGGGCTCCGATATCTTTGTTTTCACCTATCGGCATAATGCTATTAAAAGGCTGGGATTTTACCCTCTGCACAGTTTTTGCCTTTACTTTTCAAAGTGTCCTGTTGTTGGCTTCTGTAGAGCGCGCTGGCCTACGCTCCCTGAGCCGGGTCTGCCTGCTCGAGGCACCTGCCGCAGGGACCACGGGGCTGCCCGCGCACTCCGTGTGATAGTCCTCGCGACTGCAGGAGAGGCTACTCCGCCTTCCCTCTTCTTCCTCTGCCATTTTGTAAATCCCACAACTACAAAGCAGTTGCTTGAGAAAATAACATAGAATAGACTGACCAAGATGGTTAACAGTTTTTTTTTACTAGGTTATTTATATTTCTGAACCACTTGGCAGAGAAATTCACGACACTTAATGTTCGTATTTTGAGTAAAGGAAGTTAAAACCATGTCTGCTTTTTGGTACTACATGCATTAGTGAAAGGTTAAGTAGGTTTTCTTCTCCACTGAAATAATATTTAACATCTCAGAAAAAATCTTGCATGTTCTGTAGTTTTGTATTAAGTCAGCCACTCTGTATGCACTGTACCAGGTAAAAACAGGTGGCTTGCCTGTTTATATTAGTATACTAACATCCCCCTTGCAGCTTCGGGCTGGTGTTCGTAGACTCAGAGTTGAAATACAGCCCCTGAGTATATATACCAAGTAGCCTTTCTGTGCATCGCTCACCTAGTCTAAACCCAGTGGGGCATGAAGGAGAGGCAGGTGGGTGCAGTGTGCAAGCTGCAAGCAAGTAGGCCCTTTATTCACTCATTTCTTTCTTCCAAATAATGGATTTTAAGTCTGTATACCTATTTGACATTTTTTTTCCTGAAACTGCAACTAAGCTGCTGTTTTCTTCCATGCAACATTATATGCTCAATTGTCTATAGAAGCTGGTGAGAGTGCCCTCCCACATAAGAAATTGCAGTGTTTTGCATGCAAATTTTTAAAAATTTAAATTGTCCTGATTCTATTTTATTTTTCCACATTGTAATACTTTTGACACAGTTGGGTTTCTCATATTACCCTAGTTCATGTACATCCGAATGCTAAATAATACTGTGTTTTGGTTTTGTGTTGCAAGAACAAATGGAATAAACTTGAATTGTGCTACAGCTGATGTGTGGGCAGCACTTTTCTCTCTCGGTGACTCTTCCCTTCCTTGTCCGATCTGCACTGTAGCCCACTTGTAGAAAAAAAGTGGAAAGAAAATAAGACACAGGAGAGATACAATTGAAATAAACTGGACTACTCATCAGGAAGTTTTGCTTTTGTATCTGTCTCCTGATACTAATTGTTGTAAGTGTTCAGTATTCCTCTTGGTGTTCCTAGAGCATCAGGGCGGAAGAGAACAAGGTCATGTTTGATCCTTTGATATGCTCATTTAAATTGCTGCGTATTCTGGAGGGTCATGTTTTCCAAACTCACTTGACCATGAACACGTTTAGGGTGTACTTCTCAGGACAAAATGTTCTGATTTAACATTAAATCACTTTGAACCTCAAAAAACTGAACAAGATTATATATAAAATTAGTTTGATTCTGTTGTAATCTTAGTCAACACCCTAAGACTGTTATTGTGTAGTTTACTTTTGAAGTGGTCCATGAATGATAGAAAAAAATATGTGCAGATACTGAATGAAGTACAGTGACAGCTACCTCAGACCTTTCATGTTGCCAACAGGTATAAATGTGGGGTGGCATGTGTGACTGTACGTGAGAGTGTTCATGGGAAAATTTTTAAGCAATGAAGTTACTTACTTGAATTGTCTATAAGAGTGTTTAAAAATGATTAAATACATTTTACAAGGAACAGAGCCCCTCCTGTAATCACTGAAGAGCAGACCAGTATATGTCAACAGAAGGCACACAACTGGAGGCTGGAAAGAGCCGAGAGTGAGTTCCTGGGAAATTCCTTAGTAATTAGGGACCAGCTATCACAGGACTTTGAAGCAGCAGTTCATTGGACTGTATTTAAGGTTTTTTCTCCAAGGCTGGTGATTCTCAAAAATCAGTTACTCCCAGGACTAGCAACAACATCCCTGTAACCTAGGAACTTGAAGAAGATGCCCAGCCTGGGCCTGCTGAACCAAACAGGTTGGCCCCGGAAATCATGTTTTAACAAGCCCTCCAGGTGATTCTGATACACAGTCAAGTCTGGACCATTGTACAAGACCATAAAGAGAGAAATAGTAAAAAGCCTGTAAATAAGATGTCATCAAGGGTGGCTTCCTGTATGAGATAAATAGCTTTTAACATGTGAGAGGGGCTCTGGACAAAAGTTAGGGTAAGGTGTAACAGTGGCTCTGAAGATGGAATGCTTGTGAGAATAGCCCTTAATTATTCTTGGAGTTTCTTGCCTAAAGGATGTCCTGTCAGTAGTTGTGGACAGTGTCTCTGCTATCCACAGCAGCCCAGAGTACAGTCTGCGTGGTGAACTGCTGAGACTTGAGTCCTGCCAAAGTCTTTTCCTTGAATTCCAAGGCAAGGTGAGGGGAGCATGCAGGGTATTTTGGGAGATGTCATGAATCTCCTATCTTGGTGCATGCCAAGTTGCAGGTCACTAAGGGTTGCTCTGGTCACACAGTTACGTCCCTGCAGGCAGCCTGCCAGTCCTACAGCCAGAGAGCCACTCAGAGAGGCCAAGTACTGCTTTCTTAGCCCCACTGCTCTGTGCAGTGAGTATGGATTCTCCACAGTGGGTGCTCCCCTGGCTCAGGAACAGCCACCTTTGTGCCCACTGATCATTCTCTGGGGGTCCACTATCTCCTAGGTACTAGCCAGACCATCATACATGAGCCATAGCATATTTTCCTTCAAGACCTTTACTTCATGAAATACAATTAGTGGCTGAGAATTTATCAACAGCCTTAACAGCACCTGTCACATGGTAGACATTCACTGTATTTATTCTGAACTGTCAAACCATTACACAGTCAAGTGTGAGATAAGCTTTAGTACAGTAAATCTTGGCTAAAGGATTACTGGCTGTGGTGGGACCATAGGACTAAACCTAAGTGCATGTACCTATTCATTGGCCAGCTAGCCTCAGAGACACTACTGATGTTGCAAACCTAAATCGATAAAATAAGGACAAAGTATCACAGAGTCACACATTTCATGAGGCAATGCTGATCAATGCAGATCAAATGCAGGTCACTTGGCCATTGTGGCATATATGGAAACAGCTATAAATAGAATAGCAAAACAAAGCACTGTCTGGCCACCCCTAGCAGCTTCTATTCAGAAGCTACAGTAGCAAGGTTAGTCTATTAACAGGGTTTGGATAGAATGAGGGGTCACACGTCTGACGACTTTGACAGCCACAGCACCTCATCGCACAAAGGAAAATGATGCACAGACAATCCCAGCCACAGGGTGTTGGTTTGAGGATATCACTAGATAACTAAAATCATTTTTTAAAGGAGTGATATTTTTCTAAGGTTTAACAAATCCAAAAATGTATTAATGGATTTGTATATGTCCCTGCCATCCAAAACTACTCCATATACTCATGCACATCCCCTTGGCAGGCCACCAATTCTAGCTATGCTGCCATTGCTTGCGATTTGCTAGTCAGATTTCAGTAGGCTTAAAAGTACTCCAGCCTAAGCTAAGTGATGTTAATTTGATAACTAAAATTTTTTTAATTAACATTTAATTAAGCATGCTGAGAACTTTCACCACATAACCTCAATTTTCACAACAATCCTGTTGAAAAGAGAGACAGCTAAGAGGTTCAATAACTTGCTCAGAGTCAGTAAATAGCTCATGAAGAGTAAATTTAGTTCTGATTTTAGAGCACATGCTCCTTCAATTAAGCAAAAAATAAAAGCTGTTCACTCCTGGGTACCCAAAACCAGTGCTCATAAGTACTCCCTCACAGAATGTGGGTTTGATGAGTGGGGAGGCTCTGCAGCTCTGGGGCTCTATTTTTTTTTTTTAACTTTAAACAGATCTCCAGAACATTTTTGCATACTCTGTAACTTTTAACTAACACCCCCTGCCTAGCCCTTGGCAACTGCCATTCTGCTCTGTACTTGTATGAGTTTGACTATTTTAGATTACACACAGAAGTGAGGTCATGCATTATTTGTCCTTTGTCTGGTTTATGTCATTTACATTAATGACATCAAGGTCCATCTATATTGTTGCAAATCACAGGATTTCTTTCTCTTTTAGGGCTGAGTAATATTCCATGTTATGTGTCTACTGCATTTTCTTTTTCCATTTGTACAGGACACTTAAGTTGTTTTCATATCTTGGCTATTGTGAATAATGCTATAGTGAACACGGAAATGCGAATCAGATCTCTCTCTGAGATCTAGTTTTCAA